TCAGATGCATTTCCTTTTCTCATCTAAATTGATCTCATGCCAAATCACATCAATCGAGGAATGGTGGTGATCACCCCTACTAATAAGCATAAAGCTTAACTTCGCCTCAAATCTATCCAAATTCATGTTTAACATGTTCAATATGGGAACACATCAATCTGAGGAGTGGTGATGATCACCCACCCCTCCACTAATAAGGAGAAAGCTCAACTTTTACTCCTTTTGACCAATCAATAAAAAAATGGGTCAAATATGCATACAGGTAGGGCTCTCAATGAATTGAATTTTACATGACACTATTATAAGTATGGCTCTCAATGACCAATAAATAAAAAAAATTAACATTAAATTTTACATGGCACTATTATAAGTAGGTCTCTCAATGAATTGAATTTTGATTCGAATCTGATCTGAATTCGATAAAATTAATGGGAGATAGATTTAAAGTCTCAGTCTGATAATTTGATCAAGATTCGAATCCGATAATTCATTAAATAAATGAATCAAATATGAATATAGGTCAATCTGATCCGATAACAACCCGATCCAATTTGTTATAAATGGTTAAATCGAATCAAACGTACAATATACTACAGTCAAACTAATTGTGCAATATACTACAATCAAACTAAATTGATTCTTACAAAATGCTTAAAAATGTCTTCTATAAATAAGTGAGTCAATAAATGGCTAAATGTTTTTTTGTGTATTTCAATCCAATAAGCTAAAAGTTAAAATGTTGAAAATTTTATAATTATTGAATCCATTTAAAAATTGAAAAAAATGGGGAAAAAGGTTAATTTCAACAACGATTTTATTTTTCTAATTTCTTTAATTTCAAATTGGATCGGATATGGGGTTAGATCAGGTCCATATCCAATCCATACATAGCCCTAACTATAAGTGCCGACTTGTCATCAAATAGCGTTATTTATACCACTAGTTGCCACATGGAAGCCATGCTAGGTTAAGGCTTTTTACGAGCTTGGAGTAGTCCTGTCCAATTTATACCACTAGTTGACATGAAGTTACTATGTTTGTTTTCGATGAAATTACACCCATCAATGTTTTCTAATTTTCAATTTCAAAAATCAGAATTTGAGTTTATTCTTTCAAAACTCAATTATATACTACACCCTACCCCACCCATCATTTAATCCATTTCTCTCATAATTCCTATATCCACACTCTGCCTCTCCATCTTCACCCATCGTTTGATGTCGCTA